AAAAAATATATCTTTTTACTACCTTTCGATTCGACAGCCCTGGATTTATATTATATATCAACACTGTTGTAAATATCACTCTGCCGATACAAATTAAGTAAATTATCAGTTTTTTAGTAAATTTTTAACGACAGAACAAAAGACACAGAACATGTGGTCGAGGTCAACGTGGACATCAGGGACAAGGTAGGAGAGACATTTTTTCACTTCACATTAGTTAACCTTTCGAGTCGACAGCCATGCGATCTTGGATTATCGACACTATTGTAAATATCACGTTGCTGATACAAATTAAGTAAATTATTTGCCTGGATCATTTCTCAATTAATTTTTACCAGCAGAACACGTGGTCGAGGTCAACATGGACATCATGGACAAGGTAGGATGTGCCATGTACAGATTTTAGCCATGCCACTAAAGACTTCATATTAGGGTTGTCGTTACATCAAATAACGTTATAATCGGGTTAAACTATATATTGTTTGTGCAAAATAAAAAAATAATTTCGGACGATACAATAGCCATGATTATTTTTTTCAAAAACAGGAAATTTTTGTTACACATCGACAAAAATTCAACCCTGGCTGTCACGCAACGAAAAGAAATTTTGACATTGGATAGGGTATACCCGGATAAGTTAATTTAATCGAAAATACATCGTGGACGACCTCGTGGTTGTGGCCGACGAAGTTTGAATGATCGCATTCAAAAGCAGTGATGCCAAAGAAAATTGGAGAATGAGAACGAGACCTGCTTGAGCGTCAAAATGATTCCTCTTAGTAGTGAGTTCCAAGACATAGTCTTGTCCCAAATATGGCTTTGTCATTTTACTTGTTTTTCAATATAGTCATCATAGGCATTGAGGCATTTGTCATACCATCATATCAGTTGTTATAAGCATCCCATCATTCTATTTTACTGTCAGTCCATTCAAAAAGCTATTGTCAGTATCCTTGACTTCATGTGTTCTCATGTATTTGCCACCTCAAAAACTTCTTCAGTTTTGTAAAAAAGATGGAAGCCACTTGGGTCAAAGGTCTAGGCTATAATTTGAATGGTCGAAAGCTGCTCAACAAAACTGATGAAATACTTCATATATGATTGTAGCAGTGTAAGGTTGTGAATTATTTGAATGATAAAAATTCCTTATGACAATAGGCTATGCTGTTTGCTGTGGCCTCTAACTCTGCTTACTATGAACATTAATCAAAATGTTCATTGTTTCAGCCAACTCTCATACTATAATCTGCCTGTCTTCTATGAATTTATTTACTTGTTTTGACATCAGTAATAGTAATCAAGGAACAATCAGCTCGAAATTTGTCAAAAATGTTTGTTCATCCTTCAGCAAACACCTGACACCATTTCACACCATCTGAACTGACAATAATCACATCAATTTCATACTCCTTTGTGAGCATTTTGTGAATTTCACTTTCCAACAAACAATATGCCTGCTCATACCACATAACTGCCCTTATTTCTTCATGTTATATGGATGCTTGCAATGCTATACACTTAAATAATGAGATGAGCCCAATATATTGTGACCGTAGGGTTGGTGTCTCTTTGACACCATGTCAGGAGACCTGAATCTGACACCACCGAGTCTCTGGGGGACTCGGAAATCGCGACGTTACGTCACGCGAGCGGTAGCGTGTGATCGCTTGGATTCGGAGTAGAGGTGAGGAGAGAGATGAGGAAGTGACTTACTCGGACTCCATATTTTCTAACAAATAACAATTCTAATAAAACTAAAGGAAATACAAAGAGAGTCAATTTCGGTCATAGCCCCCTATTTATACTATTCCGTTCGAAAGAGAGAGTTTATAAACGAATCGCGGGTTGATAAATACCTTGTCGATGGACTGTTCTTTACACTAGTTCCGAATCTTGTCTGTTCACTGGTGTGGAGGCACGGAGAAGTGTAGAGGCTTAATCAGGCACTAATTTTTCTCTCGGTGTTTAATCCTGGGTCACGGGTTTAATCCTGGGTCACAATTTTAATTTGGGAGTACGACTTTTGTTGAGCGGACTTTGTGAAGACGACTTTTGTAGAGGGACTTCGGATGACTGACTTCGGAATCTTTTTCTTTTCTTTTTTCATTCCTCTTGGGTTTTTTCCATGAGGTCAGGTGGTTGCCGTTAACGGTCTTGCGTCCAATATGGATTCTCCATCAAAAGTTCCTGGTGACACATCGCTGACTAGCTGGATCCGACTCAACAAGGAACAAACTCCGTGGGAAATAATTTTTATGGCTTTTAGCCTAACTCGATAAAACGCTCTAATTTAACTGATTAAAGTTTCCAATAATTAAAATTTAAAATAACACTTTATTGTGGGTCTGTTCGTCCCTCACAATATCATCTATGCTTTGAGCATGTGCTACAGCATCTCAAACACAAAGTCAGATATAACTGATAATATACAGTATCTGCAGAGAAATTTGCTTGTTTAGTATAATGTTAACATGTGTGTTAACATTATACTAAACAAGCAAATTTGTCTCAACTTACCAGATCTGGAAAACTTGCTTATTGAACATCTTTTGTAATTACATTTTTATAATTAATAAAAATTCTCATGTAACCTTCAAGTACTGGTTAAACTTTCGTTTATTACTAATATTTATTTATATTAAACACAGAATCTTACAACTAGTTACAATTTAAAGGCAAAGAAATTAAATTTATATAATTTGCTAAAATAGCTTTATTTCTAAAAACAAGAATATTTAATGAATAAAATTTATTTAAAAAGTCAGTTTTTATTTCTTCTAATTAGCAATTAGATAATTTTATTAAATACCAACATTACAAATATAAGCAGATAAATGCTATGGTTTTATATAAAACTTCATACATAAATTAGTTCATAAACATGTTAGATGAGCTTTATTGTTGGCTATGTATATATCCAATTGCTGGTATAATCTGCTTGCATCACACTGTTTTGAAAATCGTATATGGGCCAGGTACACTTGCCTGGATTATCCTAACCTAGATTATTCATGAACATGATTTACTAAAGTAACAAACACAGAACAAGAAAATGCAAAAACAATTTCACTAAAAAATAAAGTGGCTATCTGGTTTACTGATTGAGATAGATCCATTCAGAAAAAATTTAAATGCAATAAATGCATTCAAACTGCTAATATTTAGAACAAGAAACAAAATATTGAGGCAAATCCAGGAATATCTAAGTTATCTAGTTACATTTTCTAGATATAGCATCATAAAATTTAGGAGTATTATAAAATTTTTATTCTGAATACTGTTAACTTTATGTGTAAACAATCAATATTAATNAAATTCGAACAAAACATTCGAAATAGAAAGCCACTTTCAACCACTTTCAGCCTCATATCTCCCGCACCCTTATAGCTATCGAGACGCAACCACCCCTATGGACGAATGGAGACTTGGGGCTACCACCACATACAAACACCATTCACGTGCGATGTGTAGTTTTTGCGAAAAAGTGAAATATAGGGACACACACGTCCATTTTTATATATATATATATTATGATGAGAGAAGCATAGAGATATCCTATAACTCTACAGAAAAATAATTCTTATTGTCATGTATCTGAATCAAAGATAAAATTAAATGCAATTTCATTATAATTTGAGTGAGCAAGTTTAGAATCTCTCTTAATTACAAAAAATTAAAATTACAACTACTATTGTAATATATCTTATTATATTCATGTTAGTAACCACTATGAAATACCATATAATATACCTTTATAGCACAAGTCAATATAATAAGTAAGTATATTAATGTCACTAGTTCTATGCAAACTGCTTTTCATCAACAGAACTTGCATTTCTATGGCAATTATATTTAAATTCAAATTTTTCTTCAATCAAATTTATAATAATTTTTTTCAATTCACTTACATTCAAGAAAATAAATTTCTGATGCTATGGCTTAAAAATAATAAGCTTCATTTCTATTCCTATCTTATAGTTCAATGCATAGGTTTATTAAATATTAAGAATTCTTTTATGTTTAACTGAATCAATTTAATAATAACTTATGTCTTCATTAGCCTATGCTCATACACCTGCAACTCCATGTAAATGGTTAAAATTTAATGGACTGTTCTGAGAAAAATTTATTGCAATTGGAGTAGCAATTGCAATAATTCAGCAATGAAAATTGCTTCATTTTAGTTTTAGTTATCACCTCTTAGTAAAATCAGTAATTAAATAATCATTTTTGTTTGTTATTATCATTTAATAAATCTTAACACAGTGTAGTGCATTTCAATTCATTTTAAACAGAGCAGTAATTAACTTACCTTCAAGAAAATCAATCAAAACTCAAAATTATTATAGTTATTTTTGCTTAGAGTGGCACTAAACAGAACTGATCCTAATGTATCTATTTCAATCAATGTTTCTAAGTAGACATTTAATAATATGCATGGTAATTATAAAGCAGGCTACAAATATAAGCAGATAAATGCTATGGTTTTATATAAAACTTCATACATAAATTAGTTCATAAACATGTTAGATGAGCTTTATTGTTGGCTATGTATATATCCAATTGCTGGTATAATCTGCTTGCATCACACTGTTTTGAAAATCGTATATGGGCCAGGTACACTTGCCTGGATTATCCTAACCTAGATTATTCATAAACATGATTTACTAAAGTAACAAACACAGAACAAGAAAATGCAAAAACAATTTCACTAAAAAATAAAGTGGCTATCTGGTTTACTGATTGAGATAGATCCATTCAGAAAAAATTTAAATGCAATAAATGCATTCAAACTGCTAATATTTAGAACAAGAAACAAAATATTGAGGCAAATCCAGGAATATCTAAGTTATCTAGTTACATTTTCTAGATATAGCATCATAAAATTTAGGAGTATTATAAAATTTTTATTCTGAATACTGTTAACTTTATGTGTAAACAATCAATATTAATTAAGCTTATAAAAAGATTTAAAAATAATAATATTTGATAACACATACCTTTTAGGAAACTGTGGAAACATTTTTTCCATTATATTTTGTGATTCATGACCATTAGTTCTTCTGAAATTAGAAAATACATAAGTTGCAAGGATCCTGAATTCTCACTAATTAAATATCTCAATTCTAAATTAGATCATATATAATTGATACACAAATGACAAATGAATGAAAGATGAGCTATTAGAAAATATAATGATTTATATTCTAAAACAATTCATTTTTATAGGGTCCTGGACAACCTAAAAATTGTCATCACCCCCTAACTGTAAATGATATGCATTTACAGATTAGATTCCTAGGATCAAACAGAGTAATCAAAAATCAAATAGGAAAAAGAGAAAATAGTGTAAATACTGTTCTAAGAAGTCAATTATTTTAATTTTAACCAAACCATATTGAAAACTTTACTAATTATGAATTTAATCAAGAAATACAGTAAAACTTCTCTAACTTGAAGCTCCAAGGAGCAGAAAAAACTTTGAGTTACAGATGATTTGAGTAAGAAAACAATAGAGTAAAAAATGCCAACTCTGGATAGATTTGTACTTTTACCTCTCTTGCATTATATAAAAAATCTTTGATAGTTCTTTTTTTGTTTTAAACAGCCTAATGTAATACCTTTCAGCAAAATGTTCAATGTAACTAATAAAATTGAACAGTTTTGCAGATACATCTTGTTGAGATAAAGTGAGAGGACCTCTCACTTTAGACTGGAACACTGAAAATTGACATTGAAAAGTCAACTGATACAACTAACTGTCTGAAAATTTTATGGAAATCGAATAATTAGGATCACTTTTGATAGAATAAATATTAAAATTTGAGTTGGAAGTTGAAAGTAACATAAAAGGAGACCATTGGTATCAGATCATAAAAAATTTTGACTTGGAGAAAAGTCAAGTTAAATTCAAGTTGGAGACATTAAATCCCTATGTTATCTCATTGAGACCTGCCAAGTGCTTCAAGTTAAAGAAATATTCAAATTACAAACATTTGAGTTAAAGAAGTTTCACTGTAGTTGGGTTATTATAATATAAACAGGCCATATTCCCTAGATAATAAGATAAATATAATATTACTAGCTGTATATAAGTACTAGCTGCAAGGACCCGCTTCGCTGGGTTTTTATTTGTATGTAATATAGTTTTTTATATATATATATAAAAGACTGTTTTTCTAAGTAATCTAGNTATAATTTTTATAATAATAATAATAAATAATATAAATTTATATAAAGCAACTGTTGAAGACTGTTTGACAACATTTTTAACTATTTTCAGTTTATGGATGTTTAAGAGCGAACGAAATTTTCTATTTTCATACCCTGTTCGTACCGAGCATTTTGATCTAGATCACAGGTTCTCAAACTTATTTCAACCACCACCCACTTTGGGATTAAAAAAAAATCTAGTGCCCCATATTTTTAAACTTACCTTTTTATATTACCATCTGTTGCATATCTTAAAAACAGTTATTGCAAATATAATGTTTAAACATGCATTATTATATGGATAGGATAGATAGCATGTGACCCATATCCTATTTCTGAGATCAAAGAATGTTTCAATGAGAAGAAATAAAACTCATATTTAATCACTGAGCCTTCTGCCCCCCCTGAAAGCCTCCACAAGGGGACATTATCACCACTTTGAGAAAGGATGATCTAGATTGTGACCAAGGTTGGCAACTATGCCTTGGTGTGACCTCTCTCAACCATTTCAATCTTGACTGAAACGAGATTCAATCGTGATTGATGACTCAAAAGAGTTATCGAAACTAGATCCAGTCATAAGAAAGATCCCACAATCCCACGTGCACGAGAAAATACAAGATGGCTACGGAACGTGTGTTGGGCTATCAACAGAGAAATAAAAAAGACAACTGGAGAGACAATGACATCTGTCTATTATTAGATATATGGCAAGAAAAAGTATTAATTTCTAACCAAAACTTCCATTTTGTTTGTTGGTGTTCATGACTAACTGTGTAGTTATGTCAGTTTTATCATCTCATGTAATAGCCGGGTTCTTCTCAAGCAGACTGCCTGTGTGAACAACACGATGTTTCACTGGCGACAGTCACAATTGAGATTGTAGGTAAATCTAGATTGAAGTGAGTCGTGGATTGTGTGCGAACGTAGTATAACAGTATCTCATAGGTAACATAAAACAATAAGGTTAGGTCTTGTCACAATTTTTCCAAGAGGACATATTTGTGACAAACTATATCCTGGTGGTTTAAAAACAGTCAACACAACCTTCACATTGCTGCATGATTGCTATGCCTTCTTTGGCTATGGAGATTTTGGCATTTTCCACTGGGATAATTGTGTCATCGTCTCAAGGTCATGCCTATAGACCAAAATCTCGTCTCTGGTTATAATCTTCAGGAATCACGATGGACATGGTTCCTGAAAATTATAACCAGAGACGAGAATCATGTCCATCATGTTCCATCAAATTACCTATATGTGCAACTAGCATGGCTGCTTGACAGTAATTGCAGGATGAGACAGACTCACTAAAATTCATACACTTGCAATAGGATCCAAGTTCACATTACAATATTGTCTCCTTCCAGTTTGCAAATACTTGAAAAGAGAAAGCATAAGGTCAGATACTTTTTGATCAGACCTTGTATACAATAAAACACCAAAAATTCAATTAATATCATTCTTCAATGGCCAAATTTTATTTTTTATCATCTTCTTGACTTGGTAGTATAGTCTACCATTCTAATTAAAATTTTTATACATTACAGTTGGGGCATTGAGTATAAGTTTATGGAACCAAGGTGACGGTGGTTTGGGAATCACTGCTCTAATGTATTCTTCATTTGGAGAATGTGAAAATCAAGTTCAAATGTAGAATTTCTATTACACTCCATAGTTATAATACCATTTAAACGAAGATTTCTCATTTTTTATATTTATAGTCACAAAGAACAATAAGGTACAGTAGATATAAATCTTAGATACTTGTATATTAATTATATTCTACAGCACTGGTGCCAAAACTTTGGCCTCCCAAACCAAATCTGGCTCAAACATATCTGACACATCTTATAAATGATAAAATTACCCACATTAATTTATAACTTATGCACCAGTTTGACCCACCAAGCAAAAAGTTTGGATACTACTGTTCTATACCAGAGATGGCCAACTTTTGTGTACATAAGATCTACTTTTTATCTTAAAAATGTGTCGCGATCGACTCGTTGTCATAGGCATACTCTAAGTCAGCAATGGGCATTCCGCGGCCCAAATCGCATAAAACGTGTATAAATATATCAATTTCCTAGCTTAAAGTGGGCCCCTTTATCCAATTTTTTTAAACAAATGAATTATGCAGAATGTTTCTTTACTAATAAAAACATTTTTTTGTTCATAAAAATAACATTAACTTATAGTATGCAGCAAAAATTCAAACGTTATTTTCTACAACTTGTGTGTGTGAATAGTTTTTCCTGTAATGAATTTAGTAAAAATTAAAACAAGAAACCAGCTAACAGACTCACCTGGAAACTAATTTAAAACTAGCAGTGACTAATATTTAATCAAATATTTTTGATACATTATGTTTACATCAGTTCTAGAAGCTACATTAAGTATACCTATTATATTTTATAATTATATATGAACAAATAATTGTGATTTACCGGCATTTTCCCCCCTCTTTTATCTTGTACGTGGCCAGCGTTAGTTCAAAAGTTTTGAAATACGGCCCTTACACAGTAAAAGGTTGCCCATCCCTGGTCTAAGTGACGAGGGGGAGAGAAGTGTGAAATACATACTAACTTGTAAGTTTAGATAGAAAAGAAAAGCCACAATTTAATTTAAAACACGAAGAAAAGGTACTTACATTTTAAACAGAAGAAAAATTGAAACTCAACGTTGTCACTTTCGGGGACCACCATTTCACCCTTCTTCTCTCTACTGTGTCCCGACCTACTCTCTCTGTCCCTTCTTTTTTTCGGTTTTACGACCCTTTGTCTATATTTCTTATTCCCCTTTTACAACTGTACGCAAATGGATTGCACATGGACCGACAAAACCGCATCTGAGGGAGAACGAGGAGGTCCAATATCACTACAGTTGCGTTTGCGTGTTACGTTCGGTTACAACTTACAAGTGTAACACGTTAAGTCAAGACATCGCAAGCGATCGACCAAAATTGGTTTTGCGATCAACTTGTTGGCCACCCATTCTATACAGTTCTGTCCAAAATGCTGTTTAGGTTCTCCATAGATAGAAGGTCTTATCCAACATAGATTGACTATAGTGATAGGAACATCAAATGCAAAAGTGCCGTGATTGAAAGAAATAGATTCATCCATTTTAAAGACAGAGAGGGGAGGAATAAGTCTGAAGATAGTTAATGCTAAGTGCTTGTCCCAACATGATTAAGAGATAAAGCATCCAGATGCAGTTACATTAAATTAAAAAGTTTTAATGTAGAAGGTATGGTTGATGTATGTTCAAATTCAACACAATTTTAAGATGTACCATTATATGAAATGTAAGTTTTTTATGTTATTGTTTTCCCCACCTTTTTTACGTCATATTTACCAACGTTGTGAACCTTACTTTATTTTGTATTTTTAACAGCACTGAAGAGGGGTTGAGAACATAAACCAATCTGAAATGCATTTGAATAAAAAAAAATTGTTTTAAATAAATTGTAATGTTTTCCTAACCAATTGCTGTTTGGTTGTCTACCAAGAATTATTTTTTGGATTACAAGGATGCTACATACAGAATAAAAAATTTTACATAGAAATCCACTTACTAATGAAAAATAAATGGTAAAAATGATATTTGTTGAAAATAACAATATAGTAATTAATAATTATAGTAAATTTTATCTCTCTTCTGATGAATTTATCCATAGAATCATGTTCCCAGCAAATGTGTGCATGTGGAATGAGATAATTGTAAAGTTATATAATTAATTTAAAAACCATTGTTAGCATTTGTAAAATAACTGCAGATGTCTTTTATATTTGATGGACAAAGATTTGATGCATATTTGGATAGGATTGATAGAACGAGTCAAACAACACTTAAGTGATCTGCCAACGGGATGCCTACCGGGAAGACTTCTGTAGGAAATAGCCACTATCTAGCTGTTACACATTTAACGAAAACTCTACAGAAAATACAGAAAAATGAAAGATTGGTTTCAGACCAATCTTTCATTTTTAAACCAATAATAATAATACAATAAAACCAATTAATATAAAA